CACCTCTGCTCTGGCCGCAGCCTGCCTTTCAGGGGCAAGGTTTCTCTTTTTCTGCTTCACTGGCTTAGCCCCTGGCTGGACATCGAGGCGGTGCTGCGCGACAGTTGGGCTAATCCTCGGGATATCCTTTGGGTTCCAAGCGAAGACATCCAAATTACCGGCTAGACACTTCGCCAATTTTTCCTTCTCTTCGGATCCCAGACCTGTTCCAACGAGAAACTTCTTTCCTTTGGCAATAAAGATTTTTTCAATCATATCAAGTGGCTCGATCCGCTCCCTCGGGAGTTCTACATCCAGCATCATGACTGATGGTGGGCTTTTGACTTGTATACTATCCACATAGCACTTTCTTGATGCATGCTGGTCTCCTCGCACGCTCCCGATCCCCCTGCTGGTTGGGAACTTCATAATTTGATGGTAGGTCGATGGGACCGCGCTAGCTGCATTTAGCAATGGCCGACCGTAGATAGCATTGTAAGCCATAGGGGTCTTGACAACTAAGAAAGTAGTCACGATCACCACTGTAAATGGTATGTCCCAAGCGTGACTGAAAGCTCTACAGTCCCTTCCGGTATCACTGTTGCCCCTCCAAAGCCTTGTAGGGGAGTAGTCACCACCTTCAACCTTTCTTGGGGGATTTTTAGACCCAAGAAGGCGTCCCAGGTGAGGACATTTGCCGCACTCCCTCCGTCGACTAACACCCTCTTCACGTCAAAATCCGCAATATCGCCTACTATTACTAAGGCGTCATCATGGGGGTGTGTTACACCAATCAAGTCCTCTTCATCGAAAGTTATACTCTGGTTGAATCTTTTTTTTTCTGAATAGAACAGACCCCTACTGAACGCACATAGCTCTTCCTAGCTGAATTTGAGTTGCCGCCCGACGCTACTCCTCCGATGATCATGTTTATCACTTCTGCCCTTGGTGGGGGTAGACCTTCGACCCTTTGCCTGCCCTTATCGTCTTTCACATACTTTGCCAATAGCCCCCGTCTCAGCAGGCGCTCAATTTCTTTCTTTAACTGTAGGCATTCTTCGGTATCATGCCCGTGATCTCTATGAAAATGGCAGTATTTACTTTGATTTCTCTTGCCTGAAGGGGTTAGCATTAGTTTGGGCCATTCGAGCTCCTTCATGTGCCGTATCTCCATCAATAACTTTGTTCGTGGAATGTTCAAAGGGGTGGGTGTCTGACCTCCTCTCGTTTTTGCCTGACTGACCGGTCTTGGGCATAACCCTTGCTCGTGCATTCATTCTTCGGCTTATTTTTATCATTGTGCCTTTGCTCGTCATATGTTTTTCGCTTATTAGCTTCTGTCTCCCTTCCATCCCTGAGATTTTTAGTTACCTTATCCGCTTCCTCCACATCGACATACTTGTCTCGCTTCTTTAATAGGTCATGCATCGACTCCGGGGGGTTCTTGGAGAGTGACATCTTAAAGGCCCGGTTTCGCGTTCCATTCATCAAGGCTGTAACCACTGTGGACATTTGCAGGTCTCTTATGCCAAGAGTCGCCCGGCTGAACCTAGCTAAGTATTCCTGCAATGACTCGTCTTTGTCCTGTACGACCTGCATCAACCCAATGGCTGTCTTCCTCTTCCTCTCGCTGCTTAGGAAGTAAGCCACAAAGCTCCTGGAGAGCTCATCAAATGACTTGATGAAGTGCGGGGCCAAGGTTGCTACCCAGTCCCTAGCCTCCCTCCTGAGTGTGGGGGGAAAGGATTGGCACATCACTGCGTCCGGGGCGGCATAAAGTCTCATCAAATCCACGAAGGTTCGTAGATGGTCAAGCGGGTCCGTGACTCCATCATAGGCTTCAATCATGGGCTGTTTGAAGCCTTTAGGCAAAGGGACTGCCATGATTTCTGGGGCGAACGGGTCTTCCTCCAAAACCATCTGTCTCCGCCTATCCTTTCTCTTGGACAACGCATCGTCTATCTTCTGGGACATGATTTCTTCCATCTTTCGTTCCAGGTCTACCATGGTTTGCGGGGGCTGTTGAGCTACGGTCATTGGAGCTCCCGCGTCTCCCGCTCCCCGCTGAGAGATGGGTGGAACAATTGTGGGTGGCGCTTGAGGTGGTTGTTGATTCGTCACTTCCGTCGGGCTTAAATGAGGGATGGTGGTTCTCTACGACTGGTCTTGTAAAAGCACCATCATTGCTGCCAACTGGTTCTCCAGAGCGCTGAATTGACTCTGCGTCATATACTGCGGGGGCGGTGGTGGTTCATGACCCCTTGCAACTGACTCCGACTCCGTCTCCACCGCGTTCCCAACCAGGCGAGTATCACCTTTTGTTCGTCTTCTTGACATGGCTTTTTAGTTCAAATGAGTTTCCCACAGACGGTGCCAATGAAAGGGCGGTGGAACAACACCCTTCTGTTTGCCCGGTAATGTTTGGCGTTTCCACCACTCCGTCAAGTATGCAAGACCTAAAAAATGAAGGCGGAGCTTTCTCCCCCATTTTACCTCCGGCGTGAGAATTAGTTTTTAGACTTGGAAAGAATATATTTGAAATTCAGATGGCTAAAACGAGAATGAGAGAAAAAAATCCCTTACCTGTGTCACATTCGGGGGTATTTATAGATATTAGGCACTGGGTAACCGCTGGGCGGTTGTGGTGCCACGTGTCCCACGATGGTATTCCCACTACACCCACGTTCTGAGTGATGAGTCCTTAACTTCCCGCCTGAAGATTGTACCTGTATCAGCGGCCATGGAACCTGGTCAATTCATTAAAGGTTTTATGGCTACGTGTTTGGACAGGGAATGAGGACTTTGCTTAGAGGTAGAATGATTTCTAGGGATAGTGGTAGAGCGCCTTTTGGGGGTTGTGGTAGAGCGCCTTTTGGGGTTTGTAGTAGAGCGCCTCCAGGGCATAGTGGTAAAACGCCTTCTGGGGGTTGTGGTAGAGCGCTCCGTGGGTGTAGTGGTAGAACGCTCCTCTCGGCGTATTGGTAGAACGCCCTATGGGGGTCGATGACCTTGCATCGGAGTGCTGTGATCTGCCTTGCTTGTCATTGAGGGTGGTTACTTCTACCAACCTATATCACAAGGGAATTGGAGAAATTGAGTAAGATTGTTGTTTCGTGCTTTTTCCTATTCCTATTGATATTTTTAATCATGTCTAATTTAGTGTACCAAAAATATTCATTACTAATTTGAAGTGAATTAAAAGGTGATTTTGCAATAATATTAAGATGAAAAGGTATACATAATAAGATAAACAGGAAATATTTTTATTAGAGAAATATAAAATTGTTCAAGAGGATGTTTGGTAAGAATTAAAATTAGATTTTTTAATAGATTGTGATAAAAGTTTTTGAAATGTGTAGTTGAAAAGTTGCAAGACCCATAAAAATGTGGTTAATATTGATTGTTCGACTTTGACTTAGATTAAAATTAGATTTTAATCTGTACCAAATAAACTCCAAATATTTAACCTCCCCACCTAAAAAAGGGGGGGGGGAGGGCAAAGGAATAATAAGCATCGTTTGATTTCCAATCTTATAAGAAAGAAAATGAAAAATATAGCCGTGACGACACCTACACAAGAAAGAGGAAGTCAAATATGATAACCTGATATGATGGATAACGGTCATATTTTTCATGTTTGTGCAAAGAATGAGAAGCAAACAAGACCTAAATGAGAGATGGACAAGGTAGGAGGATTTTGAGTAGTGATGGTAACGGGGCGGGGCGGTTTCTTGCCCCGTTTAAATTTTTTTTTTTGTTATATTCCGAGTTCAATAAAATAAGGATAACATTCAAGTTGAACTTTTAATAAAGAATACCCTTACTTTATGTAAATTTAAGTTTTTGTTTTGGGATAAAATTATTTATAGTGTAAAATGATTTTTAGAGAATGTGTGGATTAAAATTATGAAAAAATTATAGATCTACATATAAATTATGTTATTAAAAAAATTGTAATAGAAAATAAGTTTAAATAAATACGATTTTGAAATATGTTGCATAGATGAACTCTAAATATGTTATAATAGTTATAATTAAGTATGTAAACAAATAATTAACAAACAATTAGCTAATTAGTAACAAAGTTATGATAAATTAAGGGTTGGATGAACAAATAATTAGAAATTTTCCATCTTCATATTTCCAAGTATTAAAAAAAATAATAATAAATAAAAAATAAAAAATTCACGGGGCGACCATCTATGCCCTACCCCGCCCCATGCCCCGCGACGGGGCGGGTTTTTTTGCCCCATTCGGGGTGGGGCGACTCCGGGGCGGGATAGGGTAAATTGCCATCACTAATTTTGAGCCATAGTTTTGAAAGTAATTCCTAAATATATGATTTGTTCGATTTCATTTTTTTCAAAATATATTTTTCTCTTTTTTATATAATCACACAATTTTCATTAAAATAATATTATATGTAATTCAAATTTTTTTTTTATTTTTTAACCATACATTTTTCATCATTCTATTATTTTAAAATACATTTTTTATAAAAATGGGACTCAAACACTATTCTTAAATTAAAAAAAAAAATGATAACAAAAATTAAAAAGCTTTGTTGTAATCGAAAAACATATAAGTCAGTTGGAGGGGACTTAAAGTAGATTTGATCCCCCAATTTCAAGACGATGGACGACCACAGTTTGGAATATTTTAGCCTTACTTGATTGATCAAAATTTTATTTGCATCTTCGCTACGTATCTTTACTCATTTGAAAATATAGAGCTTATTTGAGAGTAATTTTGAAAATTAATTTTTTGATCGTTAGAAGAAAAATTGAATCCACCTATAAAAGAAGAAGTCAAATATGACAATTAAAATAGTAAAATAACGATCAAAATATTAATTTTTTGAATTAAAAAATCGCTTCCAAACAAGCCCATATATTTGACCATATATAATAATTTAACACGAGTTTAAATCTTCTTTTCTCTCATCATTGATTTTTTAATAAATAAATCAAAATCGATTTTTAATTAGAGAAGAAAGACGAATTGAATTCGACAGCGGCAAAAGTCAGTAATGAATTGTTGAGGAGATAACCTGTCGTTAGATAAAATACTGCTTTGAATATCGGCCGTATAAAAAAGTCGCTTTGAAGGTGTGCAGGGCTATGGCGGCTTAGGGTTTGGCCTATGAACATTGATATCGTCAACTTCCTTTTAAATGTTGGTTTCTGACTTCCCACCACCACATTTCTATATCCAATCAATTGTTAACTAAACTGAATTCTAATCCATGGAAACTGTAGATGCTACGAATGAGTTCCAAGATTGGGAGGTTCTCCACCCTAACTCGGACTCGGAATCGGAATCAACCCTTCTCCAAATGCCATGCTCAGTCGACACCTTTGAAGAAATCGACTCGGAGGGCATAATTCGGGCTAACTATTTCTCGTTAGACTCTCGGAATCGGTACGTGACTGCACATGGGGAGGATTCCGTTGATAATAAATCGGATAACCGGAGTTTGATTGATCCTGGATTGGAGGAGAACCCGAATCGATACCTGAGCAAGGAGTCTGATGAGTTTTCGTCCGATTCCAGCAGCGCCAAATTTAACGATTTCGTGTGTACAAATGAAATGGGTTCTGAAGATATTAAACAAATAACTTTGCAGAAAGTGGAAGAAGCACAATTTTTGGGAAAAAACTATTATTCAACGTCTGGTGAGGTTGAAGAGGGTTCCATAAAATTAAACGAGTTGGAAGAGAACTCTGAGATAGATATGAAAGAAAAAGCGAATTTGTGCGAAGGATTAGAGGTTTCAGGAGAAGACAAGTGCGAAAGGAAGGATAGTAGGAATGAGATTGAGGGTATAAATGAAAAAGAAACTGCAAAAAGCCATGAGATTGTGAACAGGGGTGTATTATGGTGGAAGATGCCAATGGAGTTTATGAGATACTGTGTATTTAGAGTGAGTCCAGTCTGGACTGTTTCTGTAGCTGCTGCCATGATCGGGTTTCTGATTGTTGGCCGCAGATTGTATAAGATGAAGAAGAAGACTAGGGCATTGCAGATTAAGGTCACTGTCGACAATAAGGTTAGTACTGCTATTCAGATGTTATTTTGTTGGATCTCTATCGTATTTTGCAGTCTTCGATTGTAGTTTATGTAATGCCTTTTAATCTGAAAATTTGTCTTTATGAAGAAAGCTGTGAAGATAACAATCTGATTATGATAATATTGTTGTGTTCATAATCGACTTTCCCATACATTTGAAATAGGAAGACTTAACTTCGACTTGTTTATTGCTTGAATTTCTATATGAGCATACAGAGGTATAGTGATAAAGTTTTCACATGTTCCAACTAATGGTTTCAAGGAATTTCTAACTTTTTTGAAGACATTTTGATTGACATTGGCTTTAGCAATGATCCGATAGCTTACGGCCATTTTAACTTGAATTAAGTCGTTTGTACTTGTTTGTTGACATTTTGGGTTGCCGGACCCCACCACTCCTCTCACATGAGGTCAGGTCCCATGTGGGGGTCATGACGTGGGATCCGACCCCCATGTGAGAGGAGGAGGTGGGCTCGAGTAAACACGAAACAAACAAGTACAAGTAGCATGACCCTTTTAATTTCCTGAGCGTTCAGTTTTAGTTTTATCCTATGATGCTTGGGCTTGGGTACAAGTATCGGGTACAGTGTCGAATCTTTTATTTTCTAAAATACATGATATGGGGACATGACTAAAAAGAGTCCAAATTTCATACACGGGTAGGTGAGTACGTCTTTCACATTTCAATTTTTTCCCCCGAAAATTCACATGTAAAAAGTTAGATAATAATTCAGTGATAAATTGTTAAAAGATAGGATATGTCAAAATTTACATGACAAAAAAATCACAAAATTAAAATAAAAATCAGAAATGATATAATTAATTACAATTGCCATAACCAGTTGAAAATTGAAGGATTCGCCCCAAATTTCATACCTGTGTCGTGTTGTGTCGACATGGGCATGCAGGCTAGAATGCCAAGTCTGAGCATCATAGGTTTTATCTCATGATAGCCTTTGCAAATTAGAAGGAAGAATGTAAAAAAAAGGTTGAACCCCAACCTTAGGGGCCCCCACCGACCCTGCCCTGGGCCATTGTGGAGGAGGTAAATCGCAGGATGTGCCTCCCAGGAGCCAGGGTGGAGAGCACATGGATAGGCCAAGGCTATTAACCCATATGGTAACTCCCGCTTGCAACAAAGCCAATTCCACCTTGCGGGGAATCGAACTCTGCACACTGCCGCGCTGAGCCCTATTCGCCCTCCCCTTTGCCACTGGGAGATATGCCCTGGGGGCTAGAAGGAAGAATGTATTATTCACACAAGTATGTCATATCTGGAATCTGAATATAGAATTACTGTAAAGTTAATTTTCTATTGTAAGTAATCTATAGAAAAATCTTCAGTCGATATCATACTTCATAATTTTTGACAAAGCAAGGACCTTCAGGGTACCCAAGCCTTCTCGAAACTTTTGTGCGAGACACAAGGGCAAGAGCAGAAATCGTATTTGGGTCCAAGAGGTACAATGGTTTACACCATTGTGGACTTGAGCTCGGGATACACTATGATTGTTGGATTCGTGAATTCTTAACAAACTTCAATATGGTTTTTCCTCCTTGTATATAATCAACTGCCGATTCTGTAACCAATTCACCTTGATCTAGTTGGTTAAGGATCGCTCAATTAAAAAAAAAAAAAATTTAAAAAAAAAATCACAACAACAGAAAACTGTGGATTCTATAAAAAGGATCTTTTTTATAACTAAGAAGGGTTGAATTTAAACTTCCTGCACATCTGGCAATGAGGAATTCTTTCTTGCAACATTGAAGTGGGTCCTATGCGGCCTTCTCATTTGTGGACAATATCAGTTGCTTGTCTGGAAGATAATAACATGTTACACTGGGTATAGATATGGTAGTTGCTTGGCATTAATGGCTTGAGGGTTATACGATTGGATACTGTAAAAATTTACGAGATTGTAATTTCCAATTTCAACACATTTATGTTCTCCATGAAAATAAATTCCATCTCTTTGAAGAACCATGTCTATTTTCCTAACTTTGCTTGTTTTATTGTTCAAGAATGTGTGTATCCCTACATGTGGGGATTGTTTTTCATCTATGGTTTTTATTTTGCAGAAGGTATCTCAGGTCATGAACCGTGCTGCTCGTCTGAATGAGGCATTTTACGTTGTCAAGAGGTTGCCTATTATTCGTCCTTCACTGCCTGCGGTTGGGGTGACAACATGGCCCGTAGCGAGTATAAGATGAGTGTCATCCTCATAACATGCAACGCACAAATTGTTCTTGTCAAATTTAGGACATGTTCTTCCAATTTTCATTTGTATAATTGGTATATTAGCTTCTTTCCTTTGAACTTCTACTTGTATAATGTGTGTGTATAGCTACCTTATTACATCAACGTTGAAGATTATGTTTCAACGACAATTACTTGAGTAAAATCTTCTTCTCCACATTGCTGCACGAAGTTTTACAGAAATTTGTGTTCTGTTATCGTTTCTTTTGGATCCTTTACTTCGGTGATTGTACTATCCCAAAATATTTTACGATTAAATGTAATTTCAAGTAGATAAAAATAAATTTTGAAAATAAATTTTGAGGTTGAACTTGCGGGGTTTATTCATGCCATTGGTTATGCATGAGAGTGGATGGAGAAAGTTTTGGCTAGAGAGAGAATCGGCATATTTGATGGCTATCTTATGCTCTTCATCATGAAAGGTCCTTGATGGTGGCATTCAATCTGGGATAAATGTCTCGATAGGGCTTTCTAGATGGACATTGTTATTACTTGTATCTATCGTGAAGGGAATAACGTTGTAGTCTTGTAGAGAAGTTGGTGGTGGACAAATCAAAGATTTTCTCCATATTTTTTTCCCATATGAATAGCAATGCCTAATTATAGGTACATCTTTTCCTCTAGTGTCATTTTGATGTCCAATTTCTTTTTAATATTTATTAGTAAAATGTTGGGATGGACCTATGACAAGGGTGGTGATTATCTAGTTAGAACATCCAGGTGCATATTGATTCCTATTTCCAACAAAAGTTATAATATTAATAAGAAACTAAAAAGTTTTTAACCAAAAAAAAAAAATAAAAATAAAAAATTCCTGGCCCAAGGTGCAGATAATAGAATTGTGGAGCAGAACAATCAATTAAAATTACAAGTTGTCATTTATTCGATTACCCTTTTTTCCTTTTCGAATAAAGAATAAATTGAGATAGAATGAGAAATGGTTCATCCAACCATAACAATTTAATCAATTACACTAAACTTGCCACATATAATCTAATATAGCCGTTGGCCTTCTCCATACAAATATATAAACGTCACTTCAACAAACAAAGATCTCTCACTAGATTTCTTCTTCAGCAACTAAAGATTTTACTTGAAGCTACACTTCAAAAATCTTCTTGACAACATTTGTTTGTTTTTGAAGATCTTGAATTCCAATAAAAAGATGACCTCAACTCGTTGCGCTGCTTGTAAACATTTGAGAAGGAGATGCCCACCAGATTGCATATTTTCTCCTTATTTTCCTTCTGATAATCCTCAAAGATTTGCTTATGTTCACAGAATCTATGGTGCTAGCAATATTGCAAAGATTCTCCAGGTACCTTACGACCTATCTAGCTACCTAAATAATTCTCCGTCATAAATTATGTTGATAATATTTATGGTTTGATGTGGTGAAACAGGACCTGCCTGTGCACATACGAGGCGAGGCAGCAGATTCATTGTACTACGAGGCTCATTGTCGAATGAAAGATCCCATTCATGGCTGTGTTGGAATAATCACTCTTTTGCATCAGCAAATATACAATGCACAAACTCAGCTGTCAAAAATTCAAGCTGAAATTGCAGTTCTAAGTGCTAAGGCACAAACTGAGTCTCATTATCAGCACCAAGTTGAACACGTGCCAAATGTTGATGAAAATTTCTAGTAAAAGTTTTAACTTTTTATCTGATTTCAGAGTTCAATTTTACATATTTTTTCAAGAATGTGAGAAACGTCCTACTGGGAAATCCATTGAATAAAACGACAGTAGTCAGTAAATATTGCTTACATGTAATTGAGTTCCAAAGATTCGAACACGGCCTAAAAAAAATCTAGCCACCACTTATAGGAGGTATGATGGCCAATTCATCTCTATCTTTCACAACGGTGGATTTGGAGGTGTATTCTTCATTTAGAGCGAGGACCATGCACTCACGAATCTCTTCTAGGCTCGGAAATTTAGCAATAAGCTTATTCAGGCAATCATCAGCAGTACTAGAGGGTGGAACTTCCAAGGGCATATCAGTCAATCCAGTAAGATCTCTTGCTCGTGCGAAAAACAGAACCTTGATCACAACAGATCTACTATCCTTCACCTCCTCATCACCCTCAACATTTCCGGTTTTACTTTCCTGTTCCTTGATATCCATAACTAAGTAACCTGCCAAATATATTTAGGAAACATGTTTCAGAACAAAAAAGGTTACATACAGTTTATACACGTCAAAGTTTTCGAAAAGAACAACATTAACATCATTTAGATATCGCTGTCAAACTCAGGAGGAAGTTGAAAGTCGGCCAAAGTAGAAAGTAAATGAGCTGAAATACATTTCACATATAGCATGTTTGGTACGTCGGACCGGAAAATAGTCGACAGTATTAAGGAAAGAAAAGAAGCTAAAAATTTTCTATTGCACTGCAGCCTATCCAATACTCCCTTAAAGGACCATAACTTCCACTTCAATTGTTATATCGACACAAGTGTTTCATGTTTCTTTTTCTCTTGCTTTTCATGTCATAAACTGTTATTTCTTCTTTCTGGTGGACAACTTCTCAACATAATGACGTGTTTGTATTTTCAGTTCCACATAGAAAGAAGAATAGATACGTATAAATGTCTACTCTCACTTTCTATAGCAATGGCAGTGATCAATATCATTCTCATCATCAGAGATTTCATTATTTCTAAATGGATCTACCTAAGCCCAATCTCACAAGACAAAGAGTTATATGAATTTTCTTGACATGAACAGCTTTCCTGGGACACTTAAATGTAGGGGCAGAAAAATGAATGAAGACAAAGACATTGCAGGTAAGAAAATTATATAGGCAACTAGCATGGCAGAACATACAAAACAATGAGTATCATTGGATGCTTAGTTGGAATTGTTACAGAAAAAGAAGATAGCAAACAGCCACCTAATGCAGAAAAGAGAATCAGCACAAACAAAACTATAGGAATCAGCAGCCAGCATAAGATCAGCATGCAAGTGGGAGACTTTTTTTCTGCACTAAGCCATAATACGATAGAGAGAAAATCTATCAAGCATAAACTAGATTTTATGTCACAATTCCTGACACTCATTACTTCAAGCACTTTGGAACAACCAAGAAATCATCTAGCAGAATAAAAGAAGCATGACTTTGAAGTCTTGGTGGTTTTCTCCCTTACCCTGATCAACCAATTGTAGCCACTAAGGGAGTATATTTCAATTGTAACAAATGTAAATGCTTCCCTAATTTGCTTCACACAGGGAACTTCTAACATTGAGAAGTCTCAGATATAAAAGTATAAATACAAAAGGTTACGCCTTTTCAGATCAATTTCAAATAGATACTACTTAAAACACTATTTTTGGGTGCAATTTTGAAATAGTATTTTGCTCCAAATTATAGTTCATTAAACAATAAGATGGAATAAATGGTTCACCATTTGGGTTCTTAAAAGTTTAAAATGTCTAAAATTCTGGGTCAAATAGAAAACAAAATTGATATTGTTATACAAATGCCAAATAAAAACTTCTGCCAAATACCAAAGTTTAGCACACCAACCAAGCTTCAAAACTTAGGACTTAGGAATTAAGCCAACAGAATGTCAGTTCAGCACCAAGGGGCAACAAGAATTTGAACATCTAAAAAGTGAAACTAAGCTTATTATATTTTCTGAATGAAGATCAAAGAATATATCAAGAAAGGTTAATCCTTATGAATGAAGATGGAACTTTAGATAGTGATAACTCATGAGAGACTCCAAGATCCACCCAAAGCGGTTCTCATCTTTGGAAGGGATTTTAACAATGGAAGCTAACAGCGTACTAACAAAAGTGCAACATTTAAAAAAATTGAAATGTCTTGTTGGTGGCAAATTACAAACCTCAAATTTAAAGTTCGCTTATTTCCCATCATTTTCAACAAATTTACTGAAAATAATATGACATATAATTACGCAAGATCTTGATACACAGAAAGACAGCTAAGAGCATGTTTGGGTTTCTTATCTTAAAGATAAGCAACAAGCTTATTTTTAGGTGTATTGATACAACACCAATAGAAATATTGAATAGAGTGAAAAAAAAAACCCCAATTAACAGGAAGAAGAAATTAGAGGAAGGGATGACATAACAGGAAAGTGCTAGGGAAAGGAGAAGAATAATGGAGAAGAGGGGAGAAATTCCCCACAAGCTATCAATAACTTTATTCAATCATCAACTATCTCCATTATATGGCAAAAGAAATTTAAATAATAAAATAAACCCTAAAGAGAGAGAGAGCCAAGCCCATTACACAAGTCCATAAAAATAACCCAACTAAAATAAACAAAATAAAAGTCCAACTAAAATGAAATAAATAAAATGAATGTCACTAAAATAAATAAACTGGATGTCCTCATCAACTCTCCAGGATGGGAGAAAACTCAACCATTTCGAGTGGATATATCGTTATAGGTTGCAATCAATCTCTCAACCATAAGTTGAGTGGTTGGGCAAGCTTCTTCCGACGACCATAGAAATGTGTCAGTGGAGGTCTGAATCTGGTGTCCTCACCAACCCCCCTGAGTAGACGGGAGGTGATCTGGGTCAAGGAAGATCCTACTGACTCCGATAAAGCTCCAATAAATATGGATCCAATTGCTGTAGTGTCTCTATGGAGATCTATGTACAGTCCGAATTTGGTCAATCAACCCAACGAACAAGGAATCGTTGAACTTCTCTATCATTAGTTAACACAATTTCTTCATCTAAAATAATATCAATTTTATCTTTATGCGCTGTGAGAGGTGGTAATGGACTAGAAGTGGCCAAAGAATTAGGATCAAGGTCCACGAAAGGAGGTAACAGAGGATCATCTGAGGAAATGAAATGACCTTTATAAGCTTTCGTCCTCAACATTGAAAGTAGAGTGGTAACCAAGGTGGAGTGAAATGTCAACAAAATATGCATTTGGACTAACTTGCTTTAAAATTTTAAAAGGACTAGTACTACGGGCTTGCAATTTGGAAGCAGGTCTATGTGGACGCCGCTCTGGCCTAATTCGAACCATAATGTAATTCTCAATGTTAAACTCAACATGTCGTTTATGCAAATCAACTTGGAGTTTATATTTTGCATTATTGGTTTCAAGTTGTTTATTGATCTCAATATGAAAATCACGAAGATGTTGTGCAAATGCTTCGACTGATACTGACACTCTAGCCTGTGGAGACATAGGAATGAGATCTAACGACTTCCTAGGCTTATACCCATGAACAGCTTCAAATGGACTCATACCTAATGAATGATTCATTGAACTTTTATATGCAATTTGAGCTATAGGAAGGATCAAATCCCAATTTCGAAAATTTTTCTGGACCAGACATCGCAACAAATTACCAAGACTACGATTAACTACTTCAGTTTGACCATCAGTCTGAGGGCGGTAAGCCGTACAAAATTTCAATTTGGTACTCATATTTTGCCACAAAGTTCTCCAAAAATGGCTAGTGAACGAACATCCCTAACGGACACAATGGTCTTAGGAATCCCATACAATTTGACAATCTCATTAAAGAACAACATGACAATCTTGGACGCATCTAAGATCTTACTACATGGGATAAAATGAGCCATTTTTGAGAAAGGATCAACCACCACAAAAATAGAATCATATTTCTTTGGGGTGCGTGGAAGTCATAACACAAAATTCATACTAACATCTTGCCAAGGATAATTGGGGACGGGAAGAGGAGTGTATAGGCCTGTATTTTGCCTCTTCTGTTTGGCCAATTAACAAGTGTCACATATACTAAAAATCTTAGCCACATCTTTCTTCAAACTAGGCCAATAGAATTGACGTTCAACTTCCGGATGAGGACATCTACTTTGGACTATTTAGTTTAGTTAGTTGGGCTTGTATTATGTTTTTATTTTTATTATTATTATTATTATTATTTTTTTGTATTGGCCTTTTATTTTGCTTTGAGCTTGTATAGTGTTTTGGGCTGGCCCAAGTCCAGTTTCTTTGTATTGTATATTATATATACGTATGCAGCCTTTGCATGGGATAGGATTGATGGAAAGGAAAGGAAATGAAGTTTAAGTCTTGCAGGCATTTCTCCCTTTTCCACCTCCCCTTCTCTTCTCTTTCCTTCTCTCCTTCTCTAGCTATTTATGTATTCTGCTTCTTCTGCTGGAATCTTCAATTTTCACAGATTTTGAATTTCTCAACCTATGCTACATCAACTTGGTATCAGAACTAAACTTGGTTCCAACATCTTCAACTGAAAATTGGAGTCACAGAATTGTCATGGAAGTGATGAAAAGTTCAGTCAACTTCCTGTCTTCAGCTTGCTGTTCAACACCATAAATTCCTACCCAAAAGGTGACCCATCCATCCTCCCCAAACCGCACACAAATATCTAACCCAATACACTGTAACACCCCCCCCCCACTGCCTTCATCTGCAACTGCCAACCCCCACTCTCCAATTTTAAATTCACTACCCATATACACTTAGCCACATTCTACCCACCATTCCACCGTCACTGTCCAGTCATAAGCCAACTACCACAACATCTACTCACAAAATCACAGCCTACTGTCCAAATTCAATCACAACCACTCATACACTGGAGTTTTAAGTTTTGGATTTCACCTTATAACTGAAGCCCTATACAAACCCAGTCGCCATCTTCATCTATTACATATACACAACCAAACTCCCAGAAACCAACCACTGAAATCAACTCTCAGCAACCTGTCATAACACAATCACAACCACCATATCCCACTACAAAACTGCCACCAGTCTACTCACAAACTGACCCAATCACCCACGCTCCAACTTGAAATCACAGCAACCAAAAATTGTATAAACCCACCCGACTGTGACACCCATGGACGCCGACCGCCAGTCATGCTCCCATCACCGCCGCCTGTCACACACACTAGCAACTTCCACCGCCACAGCACTCATTTTCCCTTACGTGCGTCTCTGCCTCCGATTTTATTTGGGCCTTGGTGCTAGCTGGGTAGTGTATTGATATTGGGCCATATGTTGGTTGGGTAGTGTGTCAATGTTGGGCCACATGTAATGCATGGAAGTATGTGTTTTGGGCCTCTATTAGTGTTTGGGCCTTGATTTATAACTAGTTTGCTTATTTGATTTTTTTAAGTTAAAAAAAAA